TTTTTGATCCATAAAATAACAGTAGCAGAGACCTGTGCCCCCAACTATTTTTGGATGATAAACATTTGTATCAGGTCAACTAAAAATGGGCATAGTAACAATACTTTTATACTACATTTATCCATTTTAAATACACTAACCTCACTCCTTTGTAACAACTAAGGCAATGTAATTCAGAAAATCTTTTCGGGACCCCACCTTGATGTTTCGGGACCCCACTTTGGGTCCGGACCCCAACTTTGGGAAACACTGGGTTAGACTGATGTTTAAAAAACCGGTATCGGCCTTCAAAAACCTGTATCAGTCGATCTCTAGTCTGTATTATTTTTAAACCATTGGAAATGGACAACTAATGATCAGAAGTACTACAGATCTGCTGCTGAGTTTGTGCAGAAATAAAACGTGTTAACATTTAAAACATACGGGTTGATTTCCTCTATTTACATCATTAAAATCTGTCATCTTAATCACTGTGTTTATAGCTTACAGCTTACAGTTTCAAACAAGATTATTGACATATTAGCTGAAAAAAAAAACGTGTTATTATCCCAAATGTGACGGTTCAGCTGATCCGTCTCATCACCATCAGGGCTAATGGTGGCTATTAGTGTTCACACCAGCAAATATCCAGGACACACCACGAACACCTCCGTTCAAATGATAAAGACTCACAACTGAGTTTAGTCGCTATGGGTTAAAACACAAAGACGTATCTGTTACGTTGATGTTTTAACTAAAATACAACAGAATTTGCCGCTAAATACATCCAAAAACAAAAGTTCAACAAGCACCGACAATTGTGTTCATGTTTCGGATGTGAATCCAGGAAGTAGCCCGAGCCTATAGTATTCAATCGCTAGCTAGCTTCAATGCTATACACTCTAATTATACTAACATAAATCAACATTGTTGTGCAAAATATGCTTTTATCAGACATTTATAACTCACAACAGAAAGCTCATGTTTCCTCGGGGCGCAGACAAAAAAAATCCCTCTGAACTGAAATCAAGGAGACGAAAAGGGTTTGTTGTGTGGCTGAACTCTGAAGGCTCACGTCCTCTTTTCTTCTCGGGCTCCCTCGGACGGCTTGGAGGAAATTTTCCAAATAATTGCTGGTATAAAATAAAAATAAAACAACACGATATTTTCCAGAAGAAAGTGTTTGTTTTGTTGAGTGACTCGGATGTGACTGCTGCTCTGTTCGCTGAGAGACAGCAGAGATATATCTGACTTCTTCATGAGACGTTCAAAGACAAGCGGAGACACTTCTGACCGTGTGCTGCCATCTACTGGACAACTGCGTTCACCGCTGCTCTTGGGTCAAAGCGGAAGTTCTTCTCAGGTCATTTTGACCCATGGGCAGCAGGAGGGTTAATTGAACCGTTTACTGTGGAAACAGCAAAAGTGAAAAAAAAAAGTTTAATTTCAGTTGATTTAAAAAATAAATCACCCAGTGCACCCTATTTTTCCCTCCATTTGTTTTATTTCGAACAGACATTAAAACAATCAAAAAGAAAAGAAAATTGAATGAAGCAAACTTAAGAAATAAAATGTAATACAAATTATTTTTGCCCATGTGACGTGCAAAATTTTATATTTTCTGTTCGAAAAGGAGCAGGTAGAAGATACATCTTATAATGTCCTGCCCCTTTGTCAATGTATTATCATTTTACTTTCAGAACATCGAAAAGAGACAACTTGTTTCCATTTTACATCATGTTTAACTATGTAGAATTATTTTAAGTACTATTTATATCATCAATTACATTATAGACCAGTGTTTCCCAAACTTTTTATCTTCTGACTCACAAAATATCCATGACAAAAACTTGTGACCCCAAATATTACTGGTCTGAGTACATGAACTTCGTTAATAACCCTAAAAACACAGTTTTTTTTGACAATATAAACAGCTTATACACAAATAAAAAAACTTATTTTTAGTTATTTTGTGTTTTTGTAATAATTATAGGGAAATATTACATCAGCAATTATTTTATTACCCTTTAAACTGATTTCTGGAGATTATCCAAGGTGCTTCATGACCCATAATTGGGTCCCAAGTAGGGCTGTGTATTGGTAAGAATTTGGCGATACGATACATATCATGAAGGTGCAGTGGTTCCCAAACTTTTCAGCTTTTGACCCACAAAATAGTCCAAAACAGTAGCAGAGACCTGAGCCCCCAGCTATTTTTGGATGATAAACATTTGAATCAGGTCAACAAAACATGGGCATAGTAACAATATTTTTATACTACATTTATCCATTTTAAATACACTAACATCACTACTTTGTAATAACTAAGGCAAAAATGTAATTAATTCAGAAAATCTTTTCAGGACCCCACCTTGATGTTTCGGGACCCCACTTTGGGTCCCGACCCCAACTTTGAGAAACACTGTTATAGACTATTGAACATTAAACATCTTATATAGCATATTTTGAAATGAGCTCTGCTTTAATCAGTTTTTTAAATTGGTTTACATTTGTATTTTTTTTAACTCATCATTCAATCCATTCCAGGCATTTACTCCACACACTGATAAACAAAAACTCTTCCTGGTTGTTCTAATATGTTGTTTTTTAAAATATCCTTCACCACTTAAATTATAACCCCGCTCTCTGTCACCAAACATTTCCTGTATATTGTGTGGAAGTTTTTTGATTTCGGACCTTAAACATGAATTGTGTAGTTTTAAATATTACCAGGTCCCAGAATTTCAGTATATTTGATTTAATGAATAACTGGTTTGTGTGTTCCCAGTATCCCACTTTATGTAGTATACGGATATATTTTTTTTGTAAGATGTATATTGGCTGTAAATTTGTTTTGTATGTACTCCCCCAAACTTCCACACAATATGTTAAATGTGGTACAATGAGTGTGTTATATAGAACAAACAAAGATTTGTAGTCCAGGACGAAACTAGTTTTTCTTATAACAGCAACACTTTTGGCTATTTTAGATTTTACAAGGCTGATCTGTGGTTTCCAGATGAAGTTATCGTCTAATATGACACCCAAGAATATTATTCCATGTACTTGTTCTAAATCAACACTTTCAATTGATATTTTAATTGGATTATTTTCCTTTTTTTATTGTTTCCTAATATCATGAATTTGGTTTTATCTAAGTTTTTATCTAAGTTTTGTTCCTTTTCACTTTAAACTCTGGTCCTCTTCAATCTAGTTGTTCAACTCAATTCCAAAATACTTCCCAGGGCTCCACTCTTCTCGACAGAGATCTGGTTGGATCTTTTGGAGCAACTCTTTCAGTCAGTTGGGGATCACATCACAGTTCTCTGATGACCAATGACAGAACCATTAAAGAAATGTAGAGGTAGTTCATATACCTACAGAATGAGGAGGGAAAAATTCAAACATGCGCATACCATACCATACCATACCATACCATACCATACCATACCATACCATACCATACCATACCATACCATACCATAC